CTTTTCAGAATAAAAGATTGGATGGAGGCTGTTATTTAGCTGAAGAACTAAGAAGAAATCCATATTTTCAGAATATACATCACACACAAACATACTGGACTTTTACAGACCTGGGTTTTCTAACCTCAGCCCTCAGCTTAACTTCTTGAATTATGTCCCTAGTCTTAAAAGGACCAAACTTTATCTATCTCCAGCAGAAGGAGAAGCTAGAGGCATACAGTATACCTTGGGGCAGATGATGAAGAACATCTCTTTCTCATAGGAATATGTATTGTGAATTTCTGTAGTCTGGAGATGAAATATGCATTTTTTCTAAACTTGCTAGCTGGTAAACATAGGTCCATTAACAATAACCTTATAGATTAACTGTTAAGCTATGCCCCATGCCTAATTTTCAACCAGTGCAGATCTTTTAGGATACATATTACAGTATGTGCAATCTAAATTTACACCCTTCAGGAACAGTTGATGCATATTGCACTGGTTGTAATTTCCAGACATTTTTATAGCACAATCAGTTTGCTCCCATTTTTAAGAGGCATGAATTTGTTATTTCATGGTTTCACATGATTTCTATGGTTTCTATGCATCATGTAAGTCTGCTTCCTTTGAGCTACTCCACTTATGAACTAAGTTTAAGTAAACCTGGTTATTAACTTTGCTTCATATATTTATTATAACAACTCGCATCACACTAGGTGTCAAATTTCCTAAAGCCACGTGAATCTGACTTTTCTGCTGCAGGAACATAGTTATTTGGAACTATATTTTGTAATAACAGTCCTTATTAGATGTATTGCTTAGCAGTCTATGATTCTACCAAAATTATAGTACTATTATAGCAATGATTTGTTTATAAATTATAGTTAGCTTGTGATTTCTATCTTGGCATCACTGGATGTTTCTAATTTATTTTTATAATAATTGTATAGATGTTCTGTGGTATTTTATTTTATTATATATATTATTATTATTATTATTATACAGTCAGCCAGATGTTCAGACTGGGTTTGGCAATTTTGTCTACCTATTGAGTCCTTACAAGGACCTGGGATAGGCAGATCTGGATATTTAATGGTGTTACAGATATCGTCCCAGGATGGAAGCTGTTCTAAGTAAAACTGCCTTTTGCATTTGACTGATGGTGAAATTGTTCAAGTGGTACTCCAGTTGTTTTGGGATTGAGTCCAAGGTGCCTGTTATTGTTGGTACTACCCTTGCTTGCCTTTGCCATAGTCGTTCTATTTATATTTGTAGATTTGGTATTTTGTTATCTTCTCCAGTTGTTTCTCTTCTATTCTGCTGTCTCCAGGCACTGCCACATCCACTATCCAGACTTTTTTGTCACTATTATTATTAGCAGTAGTATTAGTATTATTATTTTGAAGTGTGAGTTCAGTGACACTGATTCTTCAGCTGTTCACAGCCTACTGACCACACAGGTTTCCCTTGTCTTTTACTCTGCATGCCCTGTTTTTATTCCTTCTGCTGCTGTTCCAACACACACAGAGTCTTTTGCTTGCTAACTCTGCCTAATACTTTAAGATTCAGCCAGGTAGGTGGTAGGCTGTGTCCTTCTCCATGTATTGCCTTAAATAAACTTTCTTTCATATTAAATCTGCACATTGATCCATGTTCAGTGTAGATTTCGACTGTCAGGAATGTTCATGCACACACATTTGCGTTCTCCAACCATTTCATTATTATTTTCAGGAATTTTCTCTGATTTTAGGTATGCTGTTCAGTAAGCTGCCATTACTATCATTAGCTTTGAAGGATGGGCTGAATAACTACAACATCATTAAATAGTTGTAGGAATATGCTTAAAATTGTGATGGGTAAATCATTTGGATTCATTTTGAATTGAAACACCTTATTACACAGCAGCCCCATTGCACGTATGAAACAGCTGTTCTGGACTAAAATCAGCTGTGTTTGAACTGGAAATGGGCTGCTTTGAGATCAAAAGAGGATCTTTCAAATTGGAAAGCATTTTGGCCTGAAATGTCTTAGATAACCTTGTTTGAAGCATGGTAGGGAAAAATGCAGCACTAGCTCACATATGCTGTATGCACTTAGAAAGTAACCAGTGCTAGTTCAGTGGCACTTACTAATAGATGAATGTGCAGAGAATTACGTCCTAAAGCAGTGGGAAGGAAGAAGCCTGCTAAGAATAAACTAAAAGTGTTTATTGTTAGCAGACTGCAGAGATTTTATGAATACTGGTTAGCTGATGCTAAAAAAAAAGGCTTTCCTTTTTCTCCCCTTTTTCTCCCCGAAATTGTAGGAGGCAAAAACAGGATGTCAGTAGGAAAAAAAATAAATACCTGCTGCTTATTCCTTGGATTCCCAGTTCTGAAAAAATCTCTTTCATAACTAGAATTGAAAAAACAAAGATCAGAAATTTAATTTTAGCTCATGAATATTATTTAGTTAAGGCAGAAATTAATAAGGTCTGTTAGATACTTTAGGATATACGATAAGGATTATGGAAAGTGGATACCATAACATACACAAGCCATACTGAACAGCTTAAATATGATTTTATTCACTTGGAAAGTCAATCTGTGTTTGAAACAATAAATTTGTCCTTTCAATAGGTTCTAACTTCCTCAAGGTAACTCATGCCATTGCAAGGTTTGTTTTTGTAGCTTGTAAAATTTGTACATTGCTGATAGCAAAATAGTACACGCATGATTGTATATTTTTGTCTTGTATGCCTTATTTTATATATTTTGTAGCTTTGCTCTGCTGGTTTATTTAGTAAGTTTTATTTAGTCTGGGTCGCTGACCTGTAATAAAGTATTTGAGAAACAGCTATTTTGTTCCTTTCTAAAGCATGAGAAGAAGACAAGCTATTCATCTCTGCCTTTTCATAAGATATCTTCTCCTGTTCTCTTTTTTTAAAAGTCTGTCATATACTGTCCCAAAGGTGCTTTTTCAAGAGGCAATCGGACTCTGTTTTTATTTGAGGACGTTTCGCTTCTCACCCAAGAAGCTATCGTTATTACTTATTTTATATAATCTTCATGTTTGCTTTATTTCCATTTCCCCCATATTTTATTAAAGGAAAGTCCCGTGATTTTGTTGGGTTATGAATGGAAAGAAAGAACAAGAAACTCATTATTCTGCTGCTATATTCTAGTTATGTGTCTTCCCTCTTTTTTGCTCTCTGGTTAGAAGTAATTTTGTAGGCAGTGGGACTTAGAGAGAATAGATATGTTTTCGGCTTTCACTCTGTTTTCTAGCTATTTCTGAGTAGACATGAATGAAAGAGAAGAGGAAGAAGTAGGGCAGGTAATTAAGAAACCTTACAAAGAGATTTCAGACTTTATTTTTTTCGGAGGAAGACTGCAAGAAGGGGGAAGAGAGAATAGTTACTTAACATTCTGTTTTACTTGTTGTGTCAAATCACTATAGCAATTGTACTTAAGAGTAAGTTATGAAGATGTATATGTCATAAATGTTCTGTTGAAGGGCTGGATCCTTCTACTTGGAAGAAAAATGTGGAGAGAAAAAATGCTGTGAAGTCTATCTATGGAGTGAAACTATTTTTATTTTATTTATTTATTAAATTTATATGCTGCCCATCTTATTATACAAAGTGACTCTGGGAATTTCCACTTCGGCCATAATAACCAAAGATGCCATCATTAATTAAGTTTTGAAAATACTGGAATACCAAAGCAGAAAGAATAGCAAGACTGCAGGCTGGTAAATGTGTTGTATAGAATGCAAGTGAGCCAGATGTTAAAATTGTTTTATGATTGACTTCAGAACTACAAACATGGGACTTAAAAAAATAAAAATTAAGGAGAATATTTGACAACACTGTCCTTTCTCGGAAAGGACTTTGCCTAAAGGGGAGAAGAAGGTTCAGCTATAGCCAGAGAGGAGAAACTTATTTAAATTTTTAAACCAGGTTATAGTTGTATGTAAACAGTCACAAGTAGGTGCTGTTAAGAAAAGATGCTTATTGGGCAAATTGTTTAATGTAATTTTACAAGCAAGACCCACAAACCAGATAAAATGGTGAGAATTCCTTAGGTGAAATGAGAAGCATAACCTCAGAATATGGGCAAAAAGCATATATTTTTAACATTAAACAACTTATCTATAATTAGAACAGATTCTTAGATTTGAAAAGGTCAGATTAAAAGTATTCTGTATCCTATGCATTATTTTATTCACTACTCTATATATAGTGAAATGTCTTCTTTTAGAAAGTACATTTTGAGGATTTACATTTATGCATCAAGGAAGAGCTCAAATGAGTGTAACTTATTTGCATAGTTATATATGATAACATCACAGTGCACATTTTTTCCTAATTTAGTATGAAATATCTTCCAATACTCTTAGTACAATAAAATGAGTATCTTTTTGAACTTCTGTTTTATAAAATCCCATTGACTAAAATGATCAAAGATTATATAATAGATTTTAAAACTCATCTCCATTTATTATTAATAATTTCTATAGCACTTTTCCTGGTGAAAGTGTTGTTCTAAAATTATGTGTTCATTACACTTCAGCAGAAATTTTTAGGACCCTTTTCTGTGATAATTTATTATTCTTCATTTATAGAGAAGCAAAGAGTTGCCCAATTAATAGTAATTTCTGTCCCTCTATCACTGATACTAAAGATACCAGAGACAATGCTTTTAGAACAAATTACCATGTGAGTACTAAATTGGTCCCCTACTAAATTGGTCCCATAACATAGCTGGATATACAAAGATACAGGAGATTCAAAATGGATAGAGATCAAAGCTCAGGCTATAGTATTTTTGAATTGAGGATCTTAAAAAGAGATTTGGCTTAAGAGTTATATTTGCAGAGTTCAGTCAAAGATTTGTAAGATCATCCATGTAACAAAAGTAATAAAATATGTTTTGCTACATAATAGTGACATCTTGAAATTAATCCTTATGTGTAACTGTGTGGATAAAATATAAATGCAAGTCACAATATTCAAATTATATCAAATGTGAAAGTGGAAATAATTTTTAAGTATCTTTGCAAATCAAAGAAGTCATGATGGTAAGAATCTTGAAATACTGGCAAGGATCTTGGATTTTAGTTGAATTTTTATCATTAAAGATAGTGAGACATATTTGGATGGTACTAAAACATAAATTAAAATTATTGTCTCATGCAAAATTTACTTCTAGAACAATTTTTATTAAGGATGGTAGTAATACTGTAATATTATATACATTTAAAAATATGGGCAGAAAATGGAGTTAATTTCTTAAATCAGTTTATAAGTAATTCTATAGATATGATGTCTGATAGATTTCAAAAAGAATGTGACAATGGCAGCCTTGGGAACACTTATTGTTTTGAGTATCTTAGATGAGAATTTTAGAGGCTAAACTAATAATTCACTTTTAATAATAACCGAAGTAAAATACAACGATAAATACAGATAATTTACAGAACTCTGGAATAAGTAATTTGAGCTCTAAATCAGGGGTCTTTAAACTTGGCAACTGCTGACTGAGGAATTCTGGGAGTTGAAGTCCACAAGTCTTAAAGTTGCCAAGTTTGGAGACTCCTGTTCTAAACAATAGTAAATGCAATTAATTATTATCATTTAAATAAACTTACAAGGTTGTCTCTCTGAAGGATTTATCAGTTTCATTCCCATGAGGTCATTGAATTCTTTCCCATTAATTCCACCGAAAATATAGAGCTATTAATGCAAACATGTCAGAATCCTAATTAAATAGTTCATTTAAAATGCATTAAAAGACAATGAACAGAAATCACATTTAGGGAAATATTTATATCATGGCGTTTCCTTTTAAAAAATATTTTGGACATTCCTTTCCTAATATACATTTTTTAGAGATTGTATAGCTACACAGCAAACTGTGCAGTTTCCACCTTTTAAAATCAGAAATGGGAGGGAGGGAGGATCCATGGCCTGAAATGAATGTGGGCAGGCCAATTTTGCAGTCATTGGTCAAATATTTTTGTTTGGGTGTTCCATTCAAGATGGCCACCGAATAGACATTCAGACATTGGTGGAGATTACAGTCTCACTTTGGAGAATTCTGAGAGCAGCTAATGTTCCATTTCTTTTGGCTCCAAAGCAAATTTTGGCCTATATATTTTCATTTGCAACAAATTTTAGTGAACACAATGGGGCTTTATTTAAAACTTCCTTTCTTATGCTAAGATACAAGGAAACTGAGAAGTTCACTTAGAGAGCCTCTGTGAAATATTTTATTTTTAGTTGCTAAATTGACTTCATGCTAGAAAATCTGAATAGATCAGGTCTGTACTGGTTTATATATTTCAAAATATCCAGACTGCCCTTAAGTTTGGTTTACAAAAGTTCAAAATCCAATCTCAACACGTAATCTAAAAATAAGTTGTCACAATTTTTCTAATTAGTAAACATTAAACAACAGTAAGAATAAAAATCAGTTAAAAGTGTTTATTACACAGATGAAAACTGCTAAACTATTAAGATATTTAGGAGAGTAAGTCTTTGTTAGGGGATCTCACTAGGGGAGGACCTTTTGGAGTGGAGAAAGTTAAGGAAGGACATGGGATGTGCTCTTTAGGTTCATGCTGAAAAGGTCCTAGTCACCCCTATTGTCTTTATGAACTTAATATATTTGCTGTGTATATTAGTATATTTAATAGTATATTTGTTGTGACTTATTGGCTTAGGAGCCCTGGTGGCACAGTGGTTAGAATGCAGTATTGCAGGCTAACTCTGCTCACAGCCTGGAGTTTGATCCCAATAGATGGGGGGGAGTGTCATGGTTGACTCAACCGTCCATCCTTCCAAGATCAGTAAAATGAGGACCTAGATTGTTGGGGGCAATATATTGACATTTTTAAACTGCCCAGAGAGTGCTATAAAGCACTATAGGGCAGTAAATAAGTCTAAATGCTATTGCTATTATGCTTACTACTCCTTTAAACTAAGGAGACACAATAGCTTTCCCAACCAGTTTTTTTTTCTAAAAGCCATGTTGTGTAAGAATGTTAAGGATTTTAAATTCAACAATGTATGGGAAGCACAAATCAAAGTAGACTATGGGAGATATTGGACTGGGACAAGTTCAAACAGATCAAGGATAGCAGCTACTCACTTTAAAATTATTTTTACTTACTTGATTATGGAGAATAAATGCAACATGATTCCATCTGCAAGCTGGAGGGATCCCTATGTAAAGTGGCTTCTTCCACTTCATCCGAGCTATATAACATATCATAAATATTTTAAATGCTAATAATAATAATGCAACTTCATTGGCAAGATTGAAAAAAAAGATTTTGCAGCAGATTACATAGTTATGGTCAATATTCTAAATGTGAAAAATGACTGAATATGCAAGGCTTTTTATATAATAGCAAGATATATTACAGAAAGAATAATTTAAAAAGCTCTGAAAGAACTATATTAAAAATACTAATCTAATTATTCCACTGACTACCAAGAACAAAGGCAAATAAAAAAACACACCCTTTTAAAGAAATTGTTTTGTATGTTTTATAGAAGCTTGTTAATTAATTCAAAGTTATTAAAAGCAACCCACTATCTCAAATCAAAGATATACTGCGACAATATTGGAGTCTGAGAGATTAACATGAAACAAGAAGGAAAATAAAAAAGAGTCAAGAACAGATAATACAAGTAAATGACCTTGATTCTGTCACACTAGATCAGTACAATGAATCTGAAATCAATGCATGTTATCTTTCTGTTGTCATTTCTTTCAAAATGCTATATCTAAGCTTATGAACAGGAATCACTAAGTGGCATCTAACTATGACTGTGCACTCTACTTAAAATTGTTTTTTCTGATGTATTTAATCCAAACCTAATTGAGCTCGAAGATGGGTTGCCAGGTGCGTAGATATCACAGTATAGGGCAGGGGTGTCCAGCCTTGACAACTTTAAGACTTGTGCACTTCAACTCCCAGAATTCACCAGCATGATTGGTTAGAGAATTCTGGGAGTTAAAGTCCACAAGTCTTAAAGTAGTCAAGGTTGGACATCCCTGGTGAAGGTTTATTCCATGGATTCATGATTCCCATTGCCTGTACATGATTTTATTCCCTTTATTTTGTGAACATCCTCAAGTCTAGTCTATATCAACCATGCTCACAGTTCAGACTAGATTGGAGTCAGACCTTCTCCATTGGCATTTTGCTTTTATTTTAAGTCCTTATTGTGCTGCTTTCATTGTTTCCTTTTTAAAAAAAAACAATTTTATTAAAGGTTTTGAACAGAACAGTAAAAGATGGCACAAACTAAAAAAGGAAAAAAGAGAAGAAATGCAAGAAAGAAAGAAAGAAAAAGAAAAAATATAACGCCCTTTCCCTCCACAAGAAAGGGACTTCCAACCCCTTTCATGATAAGTATAAAAAAAAATCCATCATCTCTTCATCTCCTCCTTGCTAACAAATATATAATTCTTCATCCCACAATCCATCTCTTAGCAATATAAATCAAATATGTAATGTCCTCTTCAATCTAGTTATCAACAGACTTCTAGAATTTTAAGATTAGTTAATACATATAAAATTCAATGTTAAAAACAATTTTTCTTTCTCACAACATACTTTTATTCTATAAAAATAGATTCAGAGTCTTAATATTCAAAATCGAAAACTCCTCTTGAAGTTTTCTGAGCTTTTAAAACTCCCTTCCAACTTTATTATTATTATTATTATTATTATTATTATTATTATTATTATTATTATTATTATTATTATTATTATTATTATTACTTGTCTTGCTTTCTACTGTTTAACTAAAATTCTTAACTTAACTATAATATAATATGGATTATAAAAATAAATGTTCATATTGTTATACTGAGGAATGAAGGCATTTGTGTAATATTTCCAGCCTTATCACTTTGCAGGTTTGTAACTTCTTTGCATCAGTTAATAGACAATTTCCAAAAACAGCAAGGGAAGCGCACGGACTTTAAAAGGCTCAGTTTGTGACTGGAGGAATTATGGCAAATTCCCCTTCCCCCATCCCAAAACTGCTGTCTTGCAGTTTCTTCATGAGGAAAAGGAACAGCTGTAAGAAGAAACAATTTGAGTGATCTTGCGTCACTCTCGTTTATCCAGAGAAGATAGTAAGGGCTGATCTACTCATTAGCTCCCTTGTTAATGCTGCAAATATCAGCTCTGCTTTTCTGTGGAATTATCTTCAATATACTTTCATTGCCCACTTTCATTGTTTTCTTATAAATCAGTGGAATGACTTGCCTCTAGAAATTATGGGTGCTCCAACACTGGAGATTTTAAGAAGAGATTGGACAACCATTTGTCTGAATTGGTACAGAGTTACATGCTTGAGCAAGGGGTTGGACTACAAAACCTCCAAGGTCCCTTCCAACTCAAGTTATTTTGTTATTCTATTATAAATTAGCTGACCAGCTAGGTGAAAATGCCACCACACTTCTACAAGTACTGAAAGTTTATTAGCTATTTTAAATTTGATATTAATTTTCATAATTTCCAAACAGTTTATTTAAAGCTGTAAAGTTATTCCCTAGGACATTTCCAAAAGGATATGAATAGCTTTCTATTACGGTATCCCAAACTACAAATTGGACAAAGGCAATACAGTCTGTAAATATTTCTTGCTGTCTTTATTATGTCTTTACTATAGGTAATTGATTTAAAACAGGGGTTCCTAACCCCCAATCTGTGGACCAGCACTGGTCCATGGCATGCCAGAGACCGGTCCACGCAAACAAGTAGAGCCCCATCCATGGGATGCAGGCAGTACGCGAAACCATGTCCTCTGCAGTCTGAGGAAAAACCTCTTTCCATGGAACTGGTCCCTGGTGCCCAAAAGGTTTGGGGCCTATGATTTAGAAGCAAAAATAGTCAATAATACATGTGTATTGTTTTGCTGAATAATGAAGAATGAGCAGTTGCTAACATTTTTTAACATGAAACATCAAAAGCAAAATAATATTCCCCTGAATTTAAGGGAACGATATCATATTTATTTTGCAGACCGTTTTTGAGGAGGACGTAATTTTGACTTATGTTTGCTACATTAAAAAAGTGTGAACAAAATATAGAACACTCAGAGAGAAAATTTTAGTATAAAGGATAACCATTCAGAATTGATGAGCAGAAATTAATATTTGATATTACCTTAAAGTTTAGAAGATTTTTATTCAAAAATATATTTCAAAATAACAACTTTCCAAAACAAATTTCAAACAAAATATTCATTCTTTCCCATTTATTCCTCTCCCCTACTCACCTAAACTTAATTTCATAATATCATTCTTTGAAATGATTTTGCCATCTTTGAACTCAAAAGTTCCTCCAAACAGATAAATGTCCTAAAAGGGAGAACAATGGCAGATATTACCATACTAATTTATTTTGCTCTCAACGTTTTGTTCTTCGTTGATATTCTTCTTGAGCGAGTCCATCACAATAATGATTTTTTAAAAGATTTGTCCATTAATTGATCATCAATAGGACATTGTAATATGGCAAACATCTCTAAAATAAAACTCTTTTCAATGTTGAAAATGTTCAGAAGAAATCCCAGCATTATGAGATTATTATCTGTCCATTTTGCTTCACAAAGGAGTTATCTCCTAATAGGTGTTCCTATGCTAATATAAAAGAGTGATTTTTCTAAATTACATACATATTGCTCAAGGGATACCAAGATTGCTTCCAGTTGTTGATGTCTGGAAGTCTGCTGTAAGCCTTTGTATTGCCCTGCACACCTTACTGAAGCTCTGGGGATACACATGGACTATTATTGCTGGTTGCCTTGGAAATGGCCAATGTCTGCTAATTAGCAATCTGTTTAAAACAAGCTGGATTGGAATGCAGCCAATTCCCCTGCCTATCTCTCCACCTCACATTTCAAAGGACTCCAAATGATAGGTGTGATCTGCTAAACCACAGAGGCTTCATTTAACTCTCAATAACAGGGTTGAATAACATATTGTACAACTCTAAGCAAACTCTTAGTTTATAGGATAGAATCGGAGGCAGAAAGAATGGATACGAAACAACTGTATTCTGCTATTGAAGTCTTCCCATCATTCCCTAAGTGTCATTTCAAGCTAAGGGAATTTCTAGGAGGATGACCAAGCCATAAGGGCAGAACTGGATCCCTGCCAGCTTCCTGACCCTAATACTCAGAAGGGAATATTCAACTGGATACCAGGTGATTATATTCTTTCTACTTCTGCCTGTCAAATAAAAGCTCAGGGTTCCCCACCTTGTGGAGCAAGCAAGATCTTGCAATTTTTCTTTTGGTATTCTCTCATTTTCTGAGAATGCTACAAAAAGAGCTCAGTGGAGGATTTCTGAAATGGATCTGTCAGTGATATGTTGGTGGAAAACATCACTGACACAATGGATGTCAGTGATAGATGATGGATAAAATGCAAACAGATTTTGTCCTTTTCCCCCAGTATTTCTGTCAACCCCTTCAAGGCAGGCAGATTTGGCAAATAACTTGGATATCTGCAAAAGATGTTGTTGCTAGTAGAGTATTGTATTAATGCTCTATAATGGTTAATTGCCATTCTGCAACAATTTTCTTCTCCTACATGTTCTCAGGGTTTCATAGACATTCCATCACAATTTTTCTGAAAATTCTCTTATTAGTGGAAGCATCGAAAAATATAGGAAAGAGATTAAGTTCTTCAGTGGCAGTGATGTACATAGTATTTTATACAGCTGCAAAGGCAAAATAGATATCTGCTTCAAAAAAATCATAATGTGAACTGTGAGAGCTAAGTCTCTTTTCTCTCTAGCATAATTTTTACTAACTTCTTCCTATACTATAATATTGGATGGATTATTTGCAGAACTTGTTCAAAAAAGTTAATTATATAATTCAATGCAGGGTTGGTTTTTTGCTTCCTTTCCCTGTTCCCATGTCCCTCTCAGATGGTTTACAATAGCAATTACTTAGCAATAACATAATCAAAATGGCTCAGTTCATTCATAAACCAAGCTACAATGTGTATTTTCTCTTTTGGGGTTAAGCCTAAGTAAAACATAACATTTTAGCAATCTCACTTCACATATGGTTTATAATAATAATAATAATAATAATAATAATAATAATAATAATAATAATAATAATAATAATAATAATAATAATAATAATAATAATAAATAATACTATTAATACTACTACTACTACTAATAATAATAATACAATACTACTAATACTAATACTACTACTAATAATAAAGTTGGAAGGGAACTTGGAGGTCATCTAGTTCAACCCCCTGCTCAGGCAAGAAACCCTATACCATTTCAGACAAATGGCTGTCCAATCTCTTCTTAAAGACTTCCAGTGTTGGAGCATTCACAGCTTCTGGAGGCAGGTTGTTCCACTGATTAATTGTTCTAACTGTCAGGAAGTTTCTCCTTAGTTCTAGGTTGCTTCTCTCGATTATTTTCCATCCGTTGCTTCTTGTCCTGCCTTCAGGCGCTTTGGAAAATAGCTTGACTCCCTCTTCTTTGTGGCAGCCCCTGAGATATTGGAACACTGCTATCATGTTCCCCCTCGTCCTTCTCTTCATTAAACTAGACCAGTGATGGCGAACCTTTTATAGACCGAGTGCCCAAAAACTGGTCACGCCCCTGCTCCACCCCCTTGCCCCGGCCCCACTCTGCCCCCCATCTCCCACCCTGCCTGCCCACAGGACCACTCACCGCCTCCAGGACCCGCCGCAGATCACCCAGGCAGCCCAGCAGCGCTATGGCAGCCACACCCTCTGCCTGCGCCCTGCAGCATCAACTGCATGATGGGGTGTGAGGGCAGAGTCTTGTCTACGCTGCCTGGCTGCCATGTCCTTGGCTGCGCTGCTCCCTGTGGGCCACGCTTGGGGGCGACTCTCCTTCAGGGGGGCTGCTAGAGAGGAGGGGTCACGGGGGAGGCAAAAGGCTGGGACAACGGCACATGTGCCCACAGAGAGGGCTCTGAGTGCCGCCTCTGGCACCTGTGCCATAGGTTCGCCACCACTGAACTAGACATACCTAATTCCAGCAACCGTTCCTTATATGTTTTAGCCTCCAGTCCCCTAATAATTCAGATTAACAGAAACAAGTAGCAATGTTCTTTTTTTGCAACCTAAAGATGAGGGAAAAAGAAAGGGAGGGAGGAGGAGGAAGGCCTTTGCAGTTTTCTGGGCAAGGAGTAGGAAACAAAAAAGGGAAACATATTTCACCCAACCCAGGACAGAAGGATTGCTCATGGTAGTGACCAGCAGCTGGGGAGGGGGTGGAGGGAGCATGGCAGGCACTACAGCCAATCAGTGGCTGCTATTAGAATAGACCAAAGCACTGGAGAACATCCATTCTGAAGCACTGAAAATGGCTCCGTTTGGAGGACAGCAGTTCTGAATCACAGCTGGAAAACATGGCTGTGGGGGTGCAACTGCGATGACAGGGAGTGAAAGGAGAAGGATGTCATCCATTCCTGCACTCAGCACTGGCAATGGGCCAAGCAGAAACTGCATATCTGCCCTAAATCTTTGCAGTCAAGGTTTTCTGTTCTCAAATACAATGGAAGTAAAAGCACCTTAATTTGTAATAAGAGAATAAAATGTTCAGTTGTTTACCTTATCACTGTGTGCTGTAAATGTATGATGTGATCTTCCGAAAGGCTTTTCTCCCTTTACTTCACACTTTTGCCACATTAAAGATACTTGAGGGAGAGGATAGAAAATAACACAAACATCTTTCATTTGCTTTTGTTCTGTAGTATCTGAAAATAGCACCATTCCAGTCCTTTGACATATACATCCATTTTTTTTCTTATAAAAGCATATTAATTCACCAGGCTGCCCAAAGACTGGATTCTTTGATGTGATTCCACTTCCCCCCCCCTCACAATACTTATGCTGCACTATCTTTAACTTTAAACCTACATTGCTTGCAGTGTTAGAGTATGGGTGAGGATTTGTGGAAAATTGCAAGAGAAGCAGCAAACAGCCTCAAACATTATTAGGGGAGCCTATCTGCATAACCACATTTGGACAAATTTAGACAAGAGTCAAAATATCTCTCATATATGTAGCACAATATTTAAAAACTCAAGCATTGCCAAAACAGAATTTCAAAATGCTGGTGAAATTTCATATCTGTCTTAAGAGTTAAGTTTCATGGAAGCATATTCCTAAACCTCTGGATATGGCCAGTGAAGCAGTTTAGGCTAAGGAGGTTTAAGCACGAAGGCCTTGAACCAGAGAATATACCCTACACAACATAGCAACATGCAGTCAGTCATAGTTTGCCAGTTCTTTGTTAGAATCTCAGCAACCAGTGGCATCTGTGGGGATTGGTGGGGTGAGATGAAAAAATCAAGATGGTAGTTATGTCAGTGCAATTAAATTTCCATCCTTTTTGTAGCTGTGACGACATTGTACACACATAAGAAGGTGCAGGACCTTATCTGCCATCTTCACTTTTTTGTCATCCTTGCAGGCTCCACAGCTAGTAAGGTTTGTTGAATGAAGACAAATATACGTGTCCCAGGATAATGTTGCAGAATCCAATATGGGTTGGTCACTAGGACCAGAGATTTAGTCTTCCGAGTTTTTGGACTCATGCTGGAGCCCATCCTCGGGGAACTTCTCTCTATATTCTGGCAGAGGGAAGCTCCCTGATGATGGGCTCCAGCACAAATTGAAAGCTTGGAGGACTAAACCTCTGATTCTAGTGACCAATCCAGACTGGATCCTGCAGTAAGCTTTGTGTTAGATGGAGCTCTTATTTTGTGAAACACTTATAAAGCCAACACTGATCCAAATGGGGGTCAAAGACACCAGCTGTGCGGAAAGCGTTCCCCCTTTGTTTTACAACAAGAATCATCCACATAGATTGGAAAACAAACGGGGAGCAATCCAGCTCTAGGCAGCAAACTAAACTAGGATAGGCAGACATCAAGTGTCACCAGACACTGCTTTTGGTGTCTCCTAACCTATCATGTTTTCCTGAAAATAAGACCTAGCTTGATTTTTACACATGCACCTAATATAAGCCCTACCCCCCAAATAAGCCCTAGTTTTGGGGTGAGGCACATGCATAAAAATAAAGTGAGGGTGGGAGTGGGGATGGTGGAGCTGCCCCACATGCCTCGCACCCACATACCTGAGGACCGCTGCAGCCAGGCCTCCCATGCCCCGATACCTGTCACACTGATGCCTGAGTTCTTCTGCAGCCGCTTGCAGCCTCACACCATGTGGCGCATTGCACTGCTGCCGCCGCTTGCGGCAGGAGGCTGCATGGGTCATTACGCTGATCGTGCTTCTGCTGCCATTCATGGCACGGAGCCATGTGGCTCATTGCGCCAATCGCACCGTTGATGCTGTTCGCAGGAGGCTGCAAGGCTTGTCGCACCAACTGCGCCGCTGCCACTGCAGTGCGATTGGTACAATGACCCATGCGGTCTCTTGCTGTGAGTGGCATATGGCTGCAAGCGGCCACAGAAGAACTCGGGCAGTGGTGCGACAGGTGTCAGCACGTGGGAGGGCCAGCTGTGGCGGCCCTAAGGTAAGCGAGTAAGACATCCCCAGAAAATAAGATCTGGGGCCTCTTTTAGAGGCAAAATAATATAAGACTGGGTCTTATTTGACTTCCGGTGAGCAGGCGACCTCGTCGGACGCAGCTGTAGCTGCCTCCCGCCTGTTTTCGCGTAAAAGCCGTTTTGACAGCGAGCATTAGCTGTCAAACGGCTTGATACCTTTCCCCCGGGCATAAGGGGATCGGTGAGTTGCCCGGGGTAGGAGTTGAGTTCCCGAGTCGTCCGATCTGGACGATGTAGGTTAGAACT